TCTGGGCCCCCATCCTCTCCTTCCTACGGTCCTGCATTGCCCCAGTCCCTAGCAGGCCCTCCACAATGCCAGGCCTTCCAGGCAGGGGAGGGTTGAGTAGAGCGCTGTGGGCCTCCTGTTCTGGCGTCCCATCCCTTCCTTGGCTCACCTGGGTCCTGCCTCACCTTGGTTCCCTCGGTGTCCTTTGCCTTCCTTCTTGTAACTGGGATCCCTCCCTCCCTAGTCTCCCTGAGTGTCCCTCCCTCCTCTGGCTCACCTCTTCAGGAGAGAGTCCTTCCTCCTGTTCTAACTCCTCAGCTAGGGCTAAGGGATCCAGCTGTGGTTCTGGGGAAAGCAAATGTGCCAGGAACTGAGGGTGAATGACGGCCTCCACCTAAGGTGGAAGGACAAGGCTGTGAGCATCCTTGGCCAGGAGTAACCAGTGAGCCACAAATACCTGCAGCGAAAGTGAACAGCAGAGACCCACTCTGTTCTCCTCCACAAGGTGGCATGTTTCAAACCACCGTGGCAATCGGCTACACACGGAGACACACTCACACACACAAAGCTCAGGGACAAGTAGCCGAGCTTAAGTCCCAAAGGCCTGGGCTGAACCCCATTCCTGGGTGCTGAGAGTGCCAGTCCGTGGAATCTTGCAGCCCCGAGGCTGCAGGCCCAGCCCACCTTGGTGACAAAGTCTCCCTGGGAACACAGCTGGTCCATGTAGCTCAGGAGACTCGAGTCCGGGTAGGTCCCGTCCTCTGGGCATTCTGCATCTGTCTCCCCAGTGGCCGAGTGGACAGGCCCCAGCAGCTCCTCCAAGATGTCCTCATACTCCTTGACAGCCTCCAGGGGAATCTCCTTGGGTGCCTTGGTCTCCCGGGGCCGCTGGGATCTGTGTGGCTGCGGGTGGGCGGGTTTGGCCCTGGGGCCGGCTTTCCTGGGCACAGAGGCTAAGGCAGAGCGGGAGGAGAAAAGGAGGGTGAGGGGCTCCCGCGTGCAGCGCCTGAGCACGGAGTGCGCTTGTCGGGGAGCGCCGTGTTTGGGGGACGTGGACGTGGGTGTGGGTGGGGTCAGGACCACCTGTGTCTTC